AAACCACTCTGGGCAGCTTACAACTCTTGTCTTTGGTTCTCCTGCTTGCGAAAACCAGCCAGTCTGAAGAGCTTTTCCACTTTTGAGATTTTGTTTCTCGTTGTCATAATTAGAAGAAAAAACAAATCAGGCTGGGAAGGGCCAGAGGTCCTCCTGCATTGACTCTGGGCCATGAAATCAACCATCTTTTTTTTTTCTTCAGGTGAAACTAATCATCAGAATTATTGGGTCTGGCTATTAGGGCACACCTGCAGATGGGGAAAAAGTTTTTTTTTTTTTTTTTTTACAAAAATGAAATGAATCTCTTGTATTTGGTCCAGAGGGAAGCCAAGCAATTTAGCAGCAGGCAAATTTATTGATGAGAAGAAAACCTAAGGAAAGAGGTCCCAAAGGTGCTTTTTCAGGAGGCAACTGGACTTCCTTGTTTTTCTTTGAAGATGTTTCGCTTCTCATCCAAGAAGCTTATTCAAGTCTGACAGGATAGTGGGGAATGGAAGGATTTGTGCTCTTTGCAGAGAGCCGGTCCTTTGCATCCTTTTAGAGGGTCCTTGAAGCACTTGGAGGTTTATCTGTGTCCTCAGGGTCACCTGAGTGGTGCTCCTGGTTCCTGTAGTCTGCAATTTTTTTCCTCTGGAAATCCATTCCTACTCCCACACCATTCAATGGGTGCTCATCCCAAATTGTATAGCTAAAAGCCTGTAGAGATTCTCAGTCTTCCAGGTCACGATTGTCCCAAAGGTGTTTTTTCAGGAGGCAACTGGACTTTCTTGTTTTTTCTTTGAAGACGTTTCGCTTCTCATCCAAGAAGCTTCTTCAGCTCTGACTGGATGGTGAGGAATAGAAAGAAAAAAAATGAGAAAGTCCAGTTGCCTCCTGAAAAAGCACCTTTGGGACAACCATGACCTGGATGACTGAGAATCTCTAGAGACTTCTAAGGAAAGAGGTACAAAATGTGTCATGCTAATTTTTTTTAATTCTAGCTGTCTGAATCTTAGTAACTAGAACTTGTGGGGGGAAATGGTTTCAATGGAAGATAATGTGACATCTGCTATTTTCTGATAGACCTAAACATTATTTTAAAGAGACAATAAAACCTGTAATGATGGTGTACCCACATCTATGAGATCTGGGTACAGATCAAATGAGTTGCGGTGGCGCAGTAGTTAGATTGCAGTACTGCAGGCTACTTCTGCTGACTGCCGGCTGTCAGCAGTTTGGCAGATCGAATCTCACCAGGCTCAAGGTTGACACAGCCTTCCGTCCTTCCGAGGCAGGTAAAATGAGGACCCAGATTGTTGGGGGCAAGAGGCTGACTCCGTAAACTGCTTAGAGAGGGCTGTAAAGCACTATGAAGTGGTATATAAGTCTAAGTGCTATTGCTATTGCTTGCTAAGGGATCCTCTACAATATTGTAGGTCCATCACTTTCCCAAGTCTTCATTTCTTTCCTTCTGATTGTATGGTCAATGATGCAGAACAGGAGAAGAAAAAGGGAAAGAGATGGGGACACTAGTCATGAGAATGGAAGTTTTTTTTGGACTGCGGTCCAACCTACAAAATCCTGCAATTTGGGGGGAGTTAGCAAGAACACTCAGAATATTTGAGCTCGTTGGAGGATTATAAATAGGGAGTTGTCCATTCCTATTAAAATTTAGATAACATTCTAACTACTACTACCATGGCAGCACAGTGGTTAGAGTGCAGTGCTGCAGGCTACTTCTGCTGACAGCCGGCTGCCTACAATTTGGAAGTTTGAATCTCACCAGGCTAAAGTTGACTCTGCCTTCCATCCTTCCAAGGCCGGTAAAATGAGGACCCAGATTGTTGGGGGCAAGAGGCTGACTCCGTAAACCGCTTAGAGAGGGTGTAAAGCACTGTAAAATGAGGACCCAGATTGTTGCAAGAAATATGCTGACTCTGTAAACTGCTTAGAGACGGCTGTAAAGCACTGTGAAGTGGTATATAAGTCTAAGTGCTATTGCTATCTTCCTTCCTTCCTTCCTTCCTTCCTTCCTTCCTTCCTTCCTTCCTTCCTTCCTTCCTCCCTTCCTTCCCTTCCTTCCCTTCCCTTCCCTTCCGTCCTCCCAGTGGTTAGAATACAGTATTGCAGGCTAACTCTGCCCACTGTCAGCAGTTCAATCCTAACTGAGTGGCTCAAGGTTGACTCAGCCTTCCATCCTTCCGAGGTCGGTAAAATGAGGACCCAGATTGTTGCAAGAAATATGCTGACTCTGTAAACTGCTTAGAGACGGCTGTAAAGCACTGTGAAGTGGTATATAAGTCTAAGTGCTATTGCTCTCTTCCTTCCTTCCTTCCTTCCTTCCTTCCTTCCTTCCTTCCTTCCTTCCTCCCTTCCTCCCTTCCTCCCTTCCCTTCCCTTCCCTTCCCTTCCCTTCCATCCTTCCCAGTGGTTAGAATACAGTATTGCAGGCTAACTCTGCCCACCCTCAGCAGTTCAATCCTAACTGAGTGGCTCAAGGTTGACTCAGCCTTCCATCCTTCCGAGGTCGATAAAATGAGGACCCAGATTGTTGGGGGCAAAGATGCTGTCACTGTAAAACCGCTTAGAGAGGGCTGTAAAGCACTGTGAAGCGGTATATAAGTCTCAGTGCTGTTGCTATTCAAATATTTCTTTGGTAAAGTTATTGGAGGTTTCTTAATGAGAGAAAAGGGTTTCAAATATAATTTGTTGCAAGTACCTCCTATTTATTTCTTTTGGTGCTTCAGTCTGTTGCATCATGATTCTTGGAACTAAGACATTCTTGGACAAAGGATTTGGTTGCCTGAATTTATATGGAAAAGTTGATCCAAAAAAGAAATAAAAGGAATTGTTGAAATCTTTCATAGAAATGTGTGCTAAAATGAATTTTCAAGCAGCAAGCATGCAACAATGTTTAACATTTTATCACAATAGTTAGTTAACATGCAGTGCTATACTTTGATGCTATCCAATATTATGTCTGATAAATGAAAGATTATAATAATAGGTTATATCCAATGATGTCCAATAAAATAGTTTAAATTATAAGTATTTCATAAGAGAGGAAATACAAAAGAAAAGCTGCCCAAAGAAAATAGATTTTGTAATAAAATTTTGCATTTGGAATGTACATTTTATCATTCAAAAGTCCTCATTCTAAACTGGATTAATAAATTGTCAAATATTTTCAAATGGACAACTGAATATTGATTATTGTTACTGAAGGAGGTTTTCAGGATGTAATAATAAACCATTTTGACATAGAGTTGCATGCATATATGTATGTATGTGTGTAAATAGATTTTATGGTTCCACTACAAAAACAAGCGCCTAACTCCACATTTATTTAAAACCATATGTTTCCACTGAAACGTGTTAAATGTCGTCTCCCTTCTTAAAAATTGAGACTTTAAAACTTGAAGTTGCAGCTGTGTTTACAGCCGAGATAGTTAATACTTCTACATAATGAAAGCTTCCTGCGTTTAAAGTTTTCAGACAAAATCAAGAGAAAAATGATTTTGCCTAGTGGCCTACATACGTATGTGTAAAATAATTCTGTAAAATATGAAAAGGTCAGCTCTCCAATCTCCCAGGGGAATGTCGTTGTGAATGAATTCTGTTCTAAAAGCAGCGCTCCTGAAGAATTTAAAATAATCTCAACATTCTGTTCAGAAAACTCAGATGACCCAACGGGCAAAGTGACTATTAATAATCTGCTGGATGATAAACAATGTTCCAGAGAACTGGATAGAAAACTAAGACAATTTTCCCTCAGGAAGTCATGGCGACGTGGTGACAGCAATGCTTAAAGAAAGAAGGTTTAGACGCAAACACAAAAGTGTCTGTGGACAAAAGTATGAAAGCATTTCTCCAAAGCATCCTTTTTTCCTGCAAACAAAAGGAACCCAAAACTTTAGATTGTAATTTGAGAGGATTGCTATATTTTCAAGGCTGGTTCTGATATCTTGGATAAGAAATCAGTGCGAGTCCATTTGGAATATTGGCTAAGGAGCCAGCCTAGAAACGAGGAGCCTATGAATTCTAGTCCAAACTTTGGGCACAAAACCAACTGGGTGAGGTTGGGCCAGTTGCTCTCTCTCAGCAGGGGTGGCCTTCAAAAATTTTAGTAAGGGGTTCTCTGCCCAGTTGCTGGGTGGGCGTGGCCATGGTGGGCTGGCCTAGTCGGCCTCCTGCGCCCCCCTCCTGTGTGTGTGGGGGTGTTTTTGCCCTCCCTGGGCTCCGGAGGCTTTCCTCGAGCCTCCAGGAAGGTGAAAACGTCCTCCCCAGGCTCCAGAGGCCCTCTGGAGGCTGGAAACGGCCCCGTTTCTGGCCTTCCCAAACTTCTGGTAGGCCCGTTTTTCACCTTCCCTGAGCCTCTGTGTGTGCCCTGCACTTATCTGCACCCAAAATGGGCCTCATGGGGACTCCTGGGAGGGGAGGGGAGAGGAGGGCAAGGCCAGCCAGGAGTGGGATTTGGGGGTTCTCCAAACTGCACAGAATCTTAGCTAGAGGTTCTCCCAAACACCTGCGAACCCCCAGCAGCCCACCCCCTGTCTCTCAGCCACAGGAAGATAATAGCAAACCCCTTTAGAAGAACCATACGAAAAAACTGCAGGACCTGTCCAAGTAGATTGGCAGGAGAAGAGGAGGAGGAGGAGAACTAACTGAAGGTGCAGTTAAATGGTCAAATAGCTATTGAGTAACTGCCAGGCTCTATCAACTCCAGTGAAAAACATCTGCTGACAGATAATGAGGAACTCCTCAGCTTGAGACCTTGGGGTTAGAGTAGATAATACATGAGTGAAGGACCTGCGAGGCCTCTCCTGTCTGTGCTTCTATTTAGATTTTGTTTATTTGATTACATGGTATCCCCTGCCTCATTCCCTTCCTCCAAATAGCACTCAAGAGAGTTAAGCTAAGGAAAACAAAAAGATACTGCAAATCAAACAAAAGCAAGATGGGTTTAGCAAACAGGGTTACATAGATTTTCTCAAGAGGTGGACAAAAGCCTGAAGTTGGATTTTCTCATTTATTAACATTACAGAGCATCACGGTGGCAGAGAAAGGCATTTATGAGTCTCCTCTGTGGTCCTTTATCCTTCTTGGAAGCTGAATGGGAGATCTTTACCTAAAAGAAAAGCAAATACTGTATATCCAACAATGAATTAGGGGACTGGAAAGTAAAACATACAAAGAACAATTACAGGAACTGGCATGGCTAGTCTAGTGAAGAGAAGGACCAGAGGAGACATGATATCAGGGTTCCAATATTTGAGGGGCTGCTACAGAGAGGAAGGGGTCAAGCTATTTTCAAAGGCACCTAAAGGCCAGACAAGGATGGAAACTGATCAAGGATAGATTCAACCTAGAAAGAAGGAGAAATTTTCTGAGTGACAAAAATCAACCAATGGAACAGAAGTTGCCTTCAGATGCTGTGGGAGCTTCATCACTGGAGGCTTTCAAGAAGAGATTGGACTGCCATTTGTCAGAAATGGTGTAGGGTCTCCTGTTTGGGCGGGGGTTGGATAACAATGATATTCATGTTATCGGAGCTAATGATACTCACCAATTCGATTGACAAACTGTCGTCAAGTCAGCATTGATTCTCACCAACTACATAAAATGACATTTTGCAAGATGATCTGTCCTTAAGCTGGACCTTCAGGTGTTCCACTGGGGCATCCATTGCTGTTGTAATCAAGTCTATCCATTTTGTGCTTGTCATCCTTCTCTTTCCTTTCACCTTTCTCAGACATATGGACTTCTCAAGTAGCTTTAAAAGAGGATTAGGCAAAGTAAGGAAGGCAAGGACTATTTTGGATAATTGGTTTTGTTTGTTGCCATTTTCAAATAAAAAAGCATGTGTTAAATACCAGCTGCCGGGGAGAAATATTGATAGAAGTCTATCACTTTCATTTGTGAACTCTCAGATATATCTGTTAAATACTAGATGCCCCAAAAGATCCAGTCTAGGCTGTGGGATTTTGAGTTGATCCAACATTAATTTTTTTTCCTTTTAATGATCCTGTAATCCATTGCATTGGGGTAGAGTTGGGACAATTGAATGGAGTTGAGCATTTACTGGCAGATGCCCTTCCTAATGCCTATGCAGAGCTCACAGCAGATAGTTTCTCTTTCCGCCCAGAGAGAGAAATATCTGCTGCTACCTAATTGCAAGGCAAGAGCTCCACCTCCATGCCACCATACCACTCTATGCATCATCTTGCATTAGTAAACAGGAATTAAATTGCCTGGATTTTTAGGACACAGTCCTAAGGACTGTAAAAATTCAGCCAAAACCACTTAAGAATTTAACATTGCTCTCAACATTGGGATGTTTAAAGTTCCATTTAAACAACACCCAGGAGAAGCAAAGTCCATTAAACACTGATCATAGTAAGGCTTTCATCTGAATAAATATGCTTATTGCTGCCTACAGACTTCTTCTCCTTTACAAATTTGTCTGGCAGCTTGTTCTTAACTCTGAAGTTAGAGATTCATGTCATCCAAGCAGCTCTGGCAATGTTTTTTGTAATCCCATGCATATATTTATTTGCCCATAAGCCTATTTTATCTCAGTTTTGCTTCACTCTACTACCATGTGATGTTCCGTTCACATTTTCTCTCATAAGTCCATGTCCATAGGGTGTGATAAAAAATAAAATCCAGATGATAATAACGATGAGGCAATCAAAGCTCTATCTGATTTTGATCCTACCAGCCATCATAGTTTACCATATTTTGGATACAGCCTTCCTCTAGCAGCCCTTTGGCTGTCCATGTTTCCACTGAATGTCAAGGGGAGAATGTCTGGGGGATTCCTTTCTCGAATTTCAAAATGTGGGCAGCAAGAGTGCTTCAAAGTGATGAATATATACACAACAAAAGATATATGCAGTAATGGTTGAATAAAGCAGGTGGAAACTAGAAGATAAATATTAATAATATATATATATAAGAAAAGAATGCAAGAAATTGTATTATACATAAGCGAACATTAGTATTAATATTACAGTAGTAGTAGTAGTAGTAGTAGTAGTAGTACTTCTTCTTGTTGTTGTTGTTGTTGTTGTTGTTGTTGTTATTATTATTATTATTATTATTATTATTATTATTATTATTACCATGTTTTCCCCAAAATAAGATCTGGTTTATATTAATTTTTGCTCCAAAAGATGCATTAGGGCTTATTTTCCAGTTAGGTCTTATTTTGGGGAAAATACAGTACTAAACGCCTCCGTCTGCTGATAATCTTAACTTTTTGGGGTAGGGCTTATATTAAGAGCATCCTGGAAAATGATAGCTAGGCCTTATTTTCCCATTGGGTCTTATTTCCAGGGAAACAGGGTATTATTAAAGGGATGCGGTGGCTCAGTGGCTAAGAGGCTGAGCTTGTCGATCGAAAGGTCTGGCAGTTCAGTGGTTCGAATCCCTAGTGACGCGTAATGGGGTGAGCTCCCGTTACTTGTCCCAGATTCTGCCAACCTAGCAGTTCAAAAGCATGTAAAAAATGCAAGTAGAAAAAATAGGGACCACCTTTGGTGGGAAGGGAACAGCGTCCTGTGCGCCTTTGGCATTTAGTCATGACAGCCACATGACCATGGAGACATCTTCAGACAGCGCTGGCTCTTCAGCTTAGAAACGGAGATGAGCACCACCCCCTAGAGCCAAAAACAACTAGCACGCATGTGAGGGGGAACCTTTACCTTTACTATTGCACATTGTAAGTATGTGATGTAAGAATTTCATTGTAAATAAGCAATTACTAGTATTTTAATTATGGTTGTTAGTATTAATATTATTCTCATTATCATCTTATTAATACTTTGTATGAACAAATGGATCCAGACAATACACTGTTCATTAAGCATTTATGTATTTTAAAGAAGAAAAAAAAGTATAAATAAACAATTATTAAAAAAACGATATATGCAGTAACTCCTCCACCTCTTCTAATAAAACCAACTTTGAAATACCTCCATGTTAAATCAAAACAAAGCAAGAAATAAAATCAAGCACTGGCATGGAGGGGCTTCATTACGGGGAAAATGCTTTACAGAAACTACAAGGCAGATTTCATCATAGTATTAACACCGACCTGTTATACATAAAATGTATTTTCCGTTTCCTGCTTGACTTCCCATCCTCCAGGCCAAAGGATGACATCCAAGCTCTGGGGTTGCACAGATAACCTTTACTTTTAATATCCGTATTATATCATCTTTGCTCAAGAATCACATCCTGATGTTTTTAAAACAAGATGCTTGAATTCCCCCCTTCTCCATCTCTCCCCGCCTCTTTGCTTTACTCTGGTTACCTATAAAAGTATGCCAGGCTATAATCCACAGCAGCAGGCAAAGAAAGCCAAACATATTGGCTTAGTTAGGAAGTTTCCAGATGAGCTGAAATCATATTTTAGATGTACTCTGTAAGCTGGAAGGTTTGAATTGCATCACATTTCTCACAGCTGGGAGGAGAAACCCTGTTTTTTTTTTATTTGTTATTTGTCTGTCTTCATCTGTGCAAACAAACACCTGTAGAACATTACAGATCCAGCTTGGATTAACAGACTTTCTCACTTGGATCAGAGCACAAACAGAGAGGGCTGCTCTAAATGGTTGTGGGATCATCACCTTGTAGGAACATAGTCTCCAAAACCAGACTAATACTAGCTGGGAAGGTTTCCTTCTCTTCTCCACAGCTAAATTACAGAGAAGGCTTAGAAAATGTCAGCTAAGGTTGCAAAATTATAAAATGACAATGTCAACTGCATATAAAGAAAATTTGTATAAGATGTTTTACAGGTGGCATCTACCCCTGATGAGAATAGCCAGAATGTTCAAGAATAAATCTGAAAAATGTTGGAAATGTCATCAGATACCGGGTTCATATTACCATATGTGGTGGACATGTGCAGAAGCCAAAAGATACTGGACTAATATCCACACATGGTTGGAAAAAATGACAAAAAAACATATAGATTTTAAACCAGAGATTTGTTTTATTGGGGATTATACCTGGAATATATAATAAAGAACTGAGATATTTGATTGTGAATGTATTAACAATGGCTAGGATTGTGTTTGCTAAAAATTGGAAAAATGAGAAAATACCATCGCAGGATGAAGTTATTAAGAAAATAATGGAATGTGCTGAAATGAGTAAATTGACATTTGAAATTAGAGAACAAGAAGATAAACAATACTATAAGATATGGGACCTATTTTATCAATGGTTAGATAAAAAAATATGGAAATGAAATATGGTAGAGATTTTCACAATACAAGAACTGTAGAACTATGTGAAATATAACATATAGATGTATTATTATTGGATAGATTCAAGAGGATGAAATGAATGTTATAATAAAAATTAACTCAAATCTTAGAATACTTTGAATGATAATGAGGGAAGAAATAGCCATAGTTAAATAAATAATTAATGAGGATAACAATATATAGACATATATTAGGTCGATGATATGAGAATCTAGGTAAATTTTAAATTGTAAGCTATGAATTTGGTGAATGATGCACAAAAGATTTGTAAGCAACCGACACACTGCAATTGAAGATGGTTTTATGTATGTTTGTTTAAAAATAAAAATCTTAAAAAAAAGAAAAGAAAAGAAAATGTCAGCTGAGATGCAGCACAATTTCCCCCCCAACTATTTGCTTCCAGTAGAGCATCGAGCAGTTGGCTTGCCTTTTTATCTTATCTTGTCCAAAAACATTTTACTAATAACCATAATACCAATAGTAATAGCACTTAGACTTATATATGGCTTTATTGTGCTTTACAGCACTTTCTAAGTGGTTTTACAGACTCAGCATATTGACCTCAACAATCTGGGTCATCATTTTACCAACCTCAGAAGGATGGAAGGCTGAATCAACCTTGATCTGGTCAGGATCAAACTCCTTGCAGTGGGCAGAGTTAGCCTCCAATACTGCATTCTAACCACTGTGCCACCACAGTCCTTCCTTCCTTCCTTCCTTCCTTCCTTCCTTCCTTCCTTCCTTCCTGGCTCAAGCTTACAGACCTTTAAAGGACTACTTTCTATACCTCTTTGGTCTGTCTAAAATGTGTGAGATTTTAGAAGATTCAGCACAACGTCCCTGGCAAGATTCTGTCATTTGTTTCTATAAGAAAGTGTGATCATTCATATGACTCTGAATTTGGAAGACACGGTGACTGTTCACGATATATCTTTTGTATATTTATATTAAAGGGACAATTCAAATCAGTTTAAGTTTCAGCTCGGTTGGCCAAAGGAGAATGAAGATATACAGCCTACATATAGCTACTGAAGTAGAGTTTAATCTTCCCCTAAAGCATTTTTCTATTAAATGTGAAATAGATATATAAGATGCATTCCAATATTTTTAGATTGGACCTTTCCTCCTGTAACATGGTCACAGGCTGATATCACAGGCTTCCTCTGGTATATTCACTCAACCCATATGGAACACAAGAGATAGAATCAGTTACATATGTTCTCTTAATCCACAGTGGTACCTTCATACTCAACTACTTTGAAACTGATCAAATTTGGTACGCAATGCATTTTGATGCAAAATTTTTGTCTCAGTACTCATCATTTGTCTGGTACTCAACGCACAAGCTAGAACTTGATGGTGTTGGCTGCCTTGTGACTCACTACAATGTTCCTTATTGGAAAATATTGTTTCGTACTCATCTTTTGGATACCCATCACACCTGCCAGAACAAATTAACGATGAGTACCAAGGTACCACTGCATAGGTCAGTGATGGCTAACCTTTTTGCTGTTGCGTGCCAAAAGTGGGGGGGTCATGCAGGGGAGGGGGGTTGTACATGCACGTGCCCACACCCATAATTCAATGTGCCTCGCCCCCTGTGCATGCACATGCCACCCGCCCGCGCTCCCCCCGCTTTTGGCACGCGATGGCCCAGTGGACCCGGTAGGCCTGTTTTATGCCCTCCCCAGGCTCCAGAAGCTTTCTAGGAGCCTGGAGAGGGTGAAAACAGCCTTCCCCACCCCCCCAGAGGACCTCTGGAGGCCGGAAATGGCCTATTTCTCGACTTCTGGTGGGACCAGAAGGCCCGTTTTTTGCTCTCCCCAGGCTCCAGAGGCTTTCTAAGAGCCTGGGGAGGGCGAAAACAGCCTTCCCCACTCCCCTGGAGACCATCCGGAGGCCAGAAACGTCCCATTTCCCGACTTCCAGTGGGCCCGAAAGGCCCGAAAATCAGCTGGCCAGCGCACACATGCGCAGTGGAGCTGAGCTAGGACAATGCTCGCGTGCCCACAGATATGGTTCCGTGTGCCACCTGTGGCACGCGTGCCATAGGTTCGCCATCACGGGCATAGGTTTTACATGAAATTCCACCCAAATCTTATTCCTCCTCTTTTAGCAACCATTCCTGGTCAAAGAGATATTTTCTGGAAGTTGATTTTGCTGCATACTGATAAGGTCTTCAACACAGCATACATTATTGCAAAGCTTTGTTATTTCGCCTCAAAGTTTCAGTAGGAGGTCCATGCTGTATGTGGTATTTGTTGTTTCTCTATTTGTCTTCCCCCCCTATTGTTTTCTTTGACTTGCTGGCTGAAGGCTGAAAGAAAATGAAATTAGATTGGATTGAATCATATCTGTACATAATCCTGCCCAATTTTTTTCATTCACTGACTGCGGTATTGCAAAGCTCTTCTAAGGTTTTCATGCTGATGTGAACTTTACTCAGCTCATTTTTTATTTTTTGGGGAAAGGAAAGGGCGACCCACTTCAGGTTTTGACTAACTGACCTTTGCCTCCAATTTCTCTCTCTGCTACCCCCCAACCTGCCTTTATAGCCATTGGCTCCCTCCCCCCAGCTCCTTCCTCCTCCAAGTTAACTTTCAAACCCAAATGCAATGTGCCAACTCAGCAGTCAACCTCTGATTGAAGACGTCTCTCCGGGACCATTGCAAAGTTCTCCCTTTAACCCTTCTTCATTCTCTCTCCCTCTTCCACTCCGAGATTCCAGGCCTCTCTGCCTTTTCCTGTTGTGCTGGTGGCTCCAGATAAGATTACATTTGCTCTCTCTCCCCCACCCTCTAAAAAATAGCCCATTTTGCTTTATTGTTCTTCAAAGAGATTTGTGGCAAGACAAGATCACGATCTCAACTCTTGCTAAGAAGGGGGCAAAAAAATAATAACAACAGGAATCAATAAATAACAAAAAGATGGCACACAGGGTTTAAGGCTGGCCTTTTATTCCCCTCACTGAAACATACTGGAAGAAGTTTCTTTTTTTCCTATTCATCTTGGCTGTTTCATATATTTCTCCTCTGAACTAAAGCTTCACAGGAAACCGGTAACTATTTTATGTCCCCATACCCAGACTTTGGAGTAGCATTGGGCCAAAATTTTACGATGTCTCAGTGGGGTTCATAAATTGTTACCTTAAAGCAGGGGTGAAATGCTCTGAAGTCTGCTACCAGTTCGCTTTGCGCGCATGCGCACCACAGGCGCTAAGAAGCCATTTCTAAGTCTGCAAAGGTAAGTAGAAAAGTGAGGGGAGGGGGGAACAGCTGTGCCGCATGATTTAGATTCGTTAGAAAGCAGGATTTCTTGCTTTCTAGCAAATATAAATCATCTGACACAGCTGATTGTCGCACAGCTGATCATAGGAACTTTTTTATTTATTATTTTTTTAAGCAGTTTTTTACTACCAGTTCCAGCAAACCAGTAGTAAAAAAAATGCTTTAAAAAGTACAAAAAAAAAAAAAAAAGTTCCGATGATCAGCTGTGCGACAATCAGCTGTGCCGCGCAATTGTCGGAACTTATTTTTTACTTTTTTAAGCATTTTTTACTACTACCAGGCGAACTGGCCCAAACCATTAGCATTTCACCCCTGCCTTAAAGCACCTCAACATACATGTAGTTCTCAATTTATGACTTGGATTTGGACCATAATTTCTGCTGCTAAACAAGTTGATCGTTAAGTAAGCTGCATGCTATCTTACAACCAGTATTCCAGTATTTGAGGGGCTGCCAGAAAGAAGAGGTGATCAACTTATTTTTCCAGGGCAGGAGAAGAAACAATAGATGGAAACTAATCAAGGAGAGAAGCAACTTGGAATTAAGGAGAAACTTCCTAACAGTG